AAGAGGGGGGTCAGGACATCCGGACCCCCCTTCTAAATCCGCCCCTGATGGTTATGTACAGTAGCGACACAAAAACCACGCAGTAGTAAAACACGACCGCACGCCGGTACGATGCTTCGAGAAAAATGGCATTAAAGACAGGCTTTTCATATCAACAGTGAGGTCTGCAGTAAAAATAGCGATTAATTGCTGTAACAAGCATGTAGCTTTCACTTGCAGAGATGAAAAGCCTGTCTTTGTTCTTCTTTTGCCCGAAGTCCGTACTAGGAAGAGTATGACCCTCGCTGTAGTTTAAAGCAAAAAGGTAGCTCTAGAAGTACTCGCTACAAGCGGCAAAGTGGAAAGTTGAGCCAGTTGGTTCATGGTTCTTCAAATAATTAAAAGCGCCGAAAAAGACAACGACAAAGAAGTGGAACGACACAAGGCACACTCGCAACTGTGGTTTCTTTTGAAAAGTACATGCATTTATAGGCCCCAGAACCTGTCAGTCATCATCAGCGTGTCCCTCGCAACGCTTCTTTCAAATATTCAAACTCACTCTTTGACAGGGCGAGTGACGCTTCACTTACACACTCAACGCCCTTATCCCTAATTGCATATGCCTCGTGCACCTCTCTGCTTGTTCGGTCGCGATAACGAGCCAAAATCTTAATGTTATGTAGCACTGGCGTACACGGGCATCTATTACAATGAATGGCGAGATGGCCAGACGGGCTGGCTCGCGTGGCAGCCGCATGTTCGCGGGCGCGGTCATTCACATATCTGCCCGTCTGGCCAATGTACACAGCGCCGTGTACATTGGCCAGACGGGCAGATGTACGGACGGGCAGATGTACAAAAAAATGAAATGAAATGAAAGTCCGTACATCTCACTGCCACTTTAAGCGTGAAGGGAGGACTACGACCCTCGCTGTAGTTTAAAGCAAAAAGGTTGCTCTAGAAGTACTCGCTACAAGCGCTTGAAAGGATTCGAAAGACCTTTACTGGGGACATTCACATCCTTTGCAGCCTTTTGCTTTGAACTACATCGAGGGCTTCTGAGGCGAACTAAAACTTGGAGCGTGTCGTAGATTTGTTGAACGTGTCATCTATTTAGAAACTGAAGTAAGCGACGCCGGCACACTCTGTGGTGCTCCCGCACTTTTGGTTTTCTTAACCGGCGTTCGAACGCTTCAGGAATATTGATTCGATCTCCAAACGCCCGATATAATGATCGAAGCACATCATAAAATACTTGTCTTAGAGCGCCGCATACAAGCTTCAATATTCCTAGTTCTATGTGTTTCTCCCGTAGAGTTTCGTGTATTGTCCGTTGTCACGCAGTAGCTGCCGGTGGTGCCACCGACGAGCTACCGATCCGCTATCCACCTTACCAATACAGATGAGGGGTAAACACACAATTTTGGGGAATAAAAGCTGGACATAGCGCCTCTCTAGTTCGATCTTATTGCCCATTTACATGTCGTGACGGTTCGTTTTTCTTATTATTTTAATGCATTACTGCGCAATCCACTTATAGCCGTAATGAGAAAACCAGAAAATTTAATAGCTATAACCGATTACCGTTGTATCTTAACTAGAAACTGATTGTTATAAGCGGTACAACATTATATGTGGCATTGCTATAAGTGGATAACATTCTACTAAACATTTTTAGAAGTGACATAAAAGTGTTAAACATCCTGAAGGAAAATATATTTAGGAAATAAAAGAAACAAAATATTTCCTACGTTTTTGACCAATCAGACAGATATCTCTAAAACGTTCAGCTTTTATATAAAAAAAGCTCGTCGTTGTGCATCAAATTAATTAATTGGCTAAATATATTTTTGTGATGTTTTGATTTTGTTGTTTGCCCTAAACTTAGAAAAAATCATGTTTGCAATATTTTTGTCTTGGTTTTATCAAGTGGCCATGAAAAGATTTTAAAAGTGAATTTCATTCACCGCACGTCGTAAAACGCGTAAAAAAAAAACGAAACACAAAAATAGACAAAAATTCGAGAGACGCATTAAATTGCTGGGCTGCCAACTGCGTTTAATGACACAAATCATCTTCATCGACTAGCTAAGATCGTTCAAGACATAGCTTGCTGCGCTTTTTCCTTTTTTTCCTGGGGGCATTGATGGCCCAGTGGTTTAGCGCACACAAAAGTCGAATTAGGTGTTAGTTGATTTAAACAGCAAGAGGTTAGTCTGCCAGAGCATTGCGACATTTGTTAGCCACTGTACAGTGTGTCACAAAAGAAAATTTACGCGGTCTTTTTTACCGCAAAAATAAACTAGGCATCACCGAACGCTCATTCTCCGCCCAAAGGAAAAGCAAGAGGTCACAACCAGATGCCACTGGCTGGCCCTAGTATGCGCAATAGGACGGGGTATGCTGTATCTGCATGGTAGGAAGTTTCGGGTGCAAACGGATTAGCAGCCCTTGGAATACATGAATAGGGTGAAGCACACAAACAGTAGAGTGATACGGTGGAGCAGGAAGCGGCAAGATTATGATTTTTATGTGGAGTATATCAAGGGGGGTGATAACGTCGGCGCAGACTTGTTAAGTCAGATTTAAGAGGAAAACCAGGGTTTCGGAAATGATTCTTGGATTGTGTAGACGCATTCGGTTTTTGTTTTTTTTGTTCTTTTTTTTTAGAGTGTTTGTAAACTAATCTCGGTGACATGCCAGAGTCGGGGTTCCTTCTTTTTCTTTTTGTTGATATATATTGTGCATTGTGTTTGTGACTCAACCGGAAATTTTATGTCTGTGGCATGAGGTTGCCGTCGTGTAGTACGTATGAACGTGAACAGCGAACCAGGTGGTGCCAGTAAGCAATGCCGCCGTGAATTAAGTGGCCAGAGCGCATGCGAGGCCCGCCGTTCGACGGCATTACGGGGAGCCAACTGAAGACGCCAGGAAGAAGGTGATCTTCTCAAAAGTGGGGAGGCAGTGTCACGGGTGTGCCACTAGGTGGAAAAAAAGAAGTGAAGCAGGGGGGGCTCGAGGAGCAGAAGTGGTTGGGAGCTTTCCGAATCGGCTGGAGCATCCGGTCTCGGCGACGCATCGAGCCGGGGAACGTGGTCTCGGCGCCCCACCGAGCCAGGGAACGAGGTCTCGGCGACCCACCGAGCAAGCCTAGGCTTCGCTTCGAGGAACTGGGGTGCTATGTTGCGATATTTGGACTCCCAGGAGACTAGGGAGAAGGAAGTGACATCAACGACACAGCAAACGCAGATTGGGTGTTGATTTCGTTTTCTTCTGTCAACATCCAATCCGCGTTTGCTGTTTCGTTGACGTCACTTCCTTCTCCCTAGTCTCCTGGGAGTCCAAAAAGCGCAACATAGCACCCCTGGACTCAGCCTGGGACATTGCTCTGCAAGTCCGGCATTTGAGCGCTCTTCATCTTTCAAACACATGTTGACCTCATGATGATGGTTATCAGGGGCGGATGCAGGAATTTCCTGAGGGGGAGGTCAGGTGTTGGTCAGCGCACCATATGTTTAGGAACCCCCTCCCCCTCTCCTTCCTTTTATGCCCTAAAATTTATACAACCAGAAATCAAGAGGGGGGTCAGGACATCCGGACCCCCCCTCTAAATCCGCCCCTGATGGTTATGTACAGTAGCGACACAAAAACCACGCAGTAGTAAAACACGACCGCACGCCGGTACGATGCTTCGAGAAAAATGACATTAAAGACAGGCTTATCATATCAACAGTGAGGTCTGAAGTAAAAGTAGCGATTAATTGCTGTAACGAGCATGTAGCTTTCACTTGCAGAGATGAAAAGCCTGTCTTTATTCTTCTGTTGCCCGAAGTCCGTACATTTCACTGCCACCTTAAGCGTGATTGATTGATTATTGGGGGTTTAATGGCGCAAGAGCAACTTAGGCCATATTGCGCCAAAAACAGAGGTTTTTATAGGGAGCTTAGTGATGCAATCCAAAAGAACTGCAGGCTACAGCTGGTGTAAAAAGCCAGTTTTATGCAGGAAATTTATAACTCGATTGAACGGCACCAAGGATTGGTCACCAAGTAGAAAATAGGGATGGAAAGGAAGGTGACCTCGGAAAAGTTCTGGAAAACATAATCGGCGCTGTTGATTTAAAGATTTACAATGCCACAGGATATGTAAGACAGTCACAGCTTTACCACAGTTGTCGCAAAGCTTAACATCCTCATCGCAGACCAGGTGCAGGTGAGTCAAACGGGTATGCCCAATTCTTAAACGGCAAAGAAGAACTTCAACGTGACGATCTTTATGAAAAGAGCTCTCCCATACCCCCAGAAGGGGCTTGATAATATGGAGCTTGTTCTCGTTTTCCATATCCCAATCCAGCTGCCATGACTTCATAATCAGTTTCTATATGAACAGTTTCAGGTCTTGGTGTGGCAGGCCAAAGGGCAGTTTTGGGCATTCCTTTGCAGAGGCAGCAAGCAAGTCTGCTTTCTCATTGCCAGGAATACCTACGTGGCTTGGGACCCAGCAGAATTTGATCAGGTGTCCTTGTTGAAGCGCTTGATTTAACCGAAACCGAAGACGTTGCACAAGAGGGTTCTTGCTGTCTGTTAAGGACAAAATTGCTCCAAGAATGCTCTGAGAATCAACAAACAGAATTGCTTTCATGATATTGTTCTCTAATAAATACTCCACAGTCATTAAAATGCCAAACAATTCAGCTGTAAAAATACTTGCAAGAGTGTTGAGTTGTCCAACTTTCCTGAAAGCAATGGAATAAACCGCACATCCCGCAAAAGTTGATGTTTTAGACCCATCAGTGTAAAAGTGCAAATAGTCCTTGTATTTCTGTTCCAATTCAAAAAACTCCTGTTGCAGAACAAATGAAGAAACAGCTCTCTTTCTGTACTTGGACAGTGACCAGTCACAGGAGATTGGTAGAAGGTCCCAAGGTGCAACTCTCTCATTGTTCCTCAGCAAAGCAGCCTCACTAAAGGGAAGATGGAGCAATGTTGCCATGCTCTGCACTCTGAAACTCGGGGGCCGAACAATGCTCGGCCTGTTTTCAAAGAGTCGGAAGGATCTAGAAGGTTGGAGGGCATCAAAAGTAGGATGTTGAGGATAGCTGTATATCTTGTAAGCATAACAAAGACTCAAATATTGCCTTCGTCTTTCCAGGGACATTTGATGTGTATCAGCATACAAGCTCAACACAGGTGATGTTCGAAATGCCCCCGTGGCAAGTCGGAGCCCCAGATGATGGACCGGGTCCAATATCTCTAGGGCGGACGGACGTGCCGAGCCATAAACAATCGCGCCATAGTCCAGGCGAGACCGCACCAAGGAGTTATAAAGTCGCAAGAGGCACCGTCTGTCAGACCCCCAGGACGTATGCGACAGGACTTTGAGGATGTTTGATGAACGTAGGCATTTCTGCTTCAACTCTTTCAAGTGGGGTAAAAAGGTGAGCTTTTTATCAAATATTAACCCTAAAAACTTGTGTTCCTTCTTTACAGATATAGCAATGTCATTCAAGTGCAACAATGGATCTGGAGACAAGCCACGGCGGAGTGAAAAGGGAACACAGATTGTCTTTTCGGGAGAGAACCTGAAGCCATTTTGATCAGCCCATTTGCTCATCTTATTGATTGTGAGCTGCAATTGCCGTTCACAACTGGACAAGTTGCAAGAAGAAAACGATATCTGCACATCGTCAACATACATTGAATAAAATACAGATGGTGGTATAACTTTAGCCAGACTATTAATCTTCACTGCAAAAAGTGTAACACTTAATACTCCACCCTGAGGGATGCCATTCTCCTGGAGAAAAACATCCGACAGGATGGAGCCCAAACGCACTTGGAAGGTCCAACCCGTCAAGAAGCTTTGAATACAGCGAAGCATGCGACCTTTGACACCATATGAGTGCAAGTCTCGAAGTATCTCATATCTCCAAGTAGTATCATAAGCCTTTTGGAGATCAAAAAAGACAGAAACACAATGCTGGCGATGGACAAATGCTTCCCGAATAGAAGTTTCCAGGCGGACAAGGTGGTCAACCGTAGAGCGACCCGCTCGGAAGCCACACTGATTCCTATCGAACACACCCTCTGCCTCTAAAAAGTGTACAAGACGGCGATTAACGAGTCTCTCATAGGTTTTGCCCAGGCAGCTTGTCAATGCAATTGGGCGATAGCTAGTCGGTAAAGAGGGGTCTTTGCTGGGTTTCAGAAGAGGAATTATGTGTGCCATTTTCCAACAGTCAGGAAAACAGGCAGCATCCCACAATAAATTAAAAAAGGTGAGCAAACTGTTTAGAGATTCAGACGACAGTCTCCTTAGCATCTCGTATTGAATTCTATCCGGCCCAGCCGCAGAGTCTTTTTTGACGCCGAGAGCCAGTTCAAGCTGACACCGTGTAAATGGCTTGTTATAAGGAGCACCCTGACCACCAGACAAAGGAATAGTTTGTTTTTCTGCTACTGATCGAAACTTCTTAAAAGATTCACTATAATTGGCCGAGTTAGACACTTCCTGGAAGTGTTTACCAAGAACATTTGCTTGTTCCTGAAGTGATGTTGCTGATGGAAAAAGGGGTATCTAAAAGCCCGATAGTCTCCCCTGATCTTCCTAAGACGATCCCACACTTCCTTTGAAGAAACAAAACTACTCAAAGAGGTCACATACTTTCTCCAAGAACTGCCTTTGGCTCGCCTTCGCGTCCAGCGAGCTTTGGCTCTTCTTTTCTTGAATTCAAGTAAATTCCTAGGAGTGGGATAACGTCTGAAGATGCACCATGCCTTGTTTTGCGACTTGCGTGTTGTGGAGCTGTCCTTGTTCCACCATGGCTTGCATCTCTTGGGGAGTCGTCCAGAGGTCTGGGGGATACTCTGTGATGCAGCATTTATAATCGCTTCAGTAACATACAGCGTGGCATCTTCAGGGCTCATGTTTACAAGAACAGACGAATCGATAAAAGCCTCCAAACAAAAAATAGACCAGTCAGCCTTTTCCAATTTCCACCTTGGGAGTCGTGTCGGAATAGGAGGAATTGGCATTGTAGTTTCTAAAACAATAGGGAAATGATCACTTCCAAAAGGATTATTTAAAACTTTCCATGAAAAGCATGGAAGTAAAATTGGTGATGCAATGGAAAGGTCGATAGATGTAAATGATTGATGTGCTGCACTGAAAAATGTGGGATCTCTCCTATTAAAAGGACACAACCCAGATGATAATAAAAAACGCTCTATGATGCCTCCACGTGAATCCTGGCGAACACTACCCCACAAAGGGTGGTGGGCATTAAAATCACCTAAAAATTAAAAAAAAAGGTTGAGGTAATTGTTTTACAAGTGATTCAAGTTCACACATATGCAGTGCAGAGTTAGGTGGCAAATAGAGAGAAACAACTGTGATCAAGCGGTCAACAAGAAGGCGTACCGCTACAGCCTCTAAGGGCGTAGAAAGGGGTACCTCCGAGCAAGCAACACCACTTTGCACCACCAGTGCCACTCCTCCCGACGTATTTGGGGAGAGTCTATCTTTCCTAAAAACTTGGTGCCGACGTAAAATCTGTGTATGAGTGTCATTTAAATGTGTTTCTTGCAGGCTGAGGGCGATTGGTCTCAACTCGTCCATAAGATAATTTACATTATCTATATTTCTGATAAGGCCACGGCAGTTCCACTGCATAAAATGGAAATTGGTCATTGTTTAAAAAATGAGATTAAAATATGAATAAAGAAAAAACACTGGGCGAATAAATGAAAGTTCTAAAGCTGCTGCATGTGGCATAAATTAATTTACAATCTCACGTTGGAGGGATCACAGGTCTTTTGCTTTTGTGTTTACTTCTAGAAGTCTGCCACTCCATGTCGTCTTGGTCAGACGCATGAGTGGAGACTTCTCCACACTCATCCATGGCTTCACTTTCCTGAGGCGAGGCTTTTCCTGCAGGTTTCTTCAGGTTCCGGGAACGGGGCGCCATGCGCCGCCCGCGACCAGGCCCAGCCAAGGCGGCAGAGGAGGTGCTGGGCGAAGCGTCGCCCAAGTCCACCCGTTCCTGTCCCTTTGGCGCTGCAGGAGCGGCACGAGAGCCATGCCGCTCTTTTGATGATGCTCTCTCCAGGGAGTGTGGGCGAGAGTGTCTACCCATCTCCCTGGAAGGAGACTGTGGAGGAGGGACGGTTGCGGCAGCCACCGGCCCATCCTGGGTTCGGGAAACAGCCTGAGAAGATACAGGCTGTTGCCCTGTTGCTGGCTGGTTGGGGGGGGGGGGGGGGGGGGGGTTGGTGGAACGACACAAGGCGTACTCGCAACTGTGGTTTATTTTGAAAAGTACATGCATTTATAGGCCCCAGAACCCTGTCAGTCATCAGCGTGTCCCTCGCAACGCTTCTTTCAAATATTCAAACTCACTCTTTGACAGGGCGAGTGACGCTTCACTTACACACTCAACGCCCTTATCCCTAATTGCATATGCCTCGTGCACCTCTCTGCTTGTTCGGTCGCGATAACGAGCCAAAATCTTAATGTCATGTAGCACTGGCGTACACGGGCATCTATTACAATGAATGGCGAGATGGCCAGACGGGCTGGCTCGCGTGGCAGCCGCATGTTCGCGGGCGCGGTCATTCACACATCTGCCCGTCTGGCCAATGTACACAGCGCCGTGTACATTGGCCAGACGGGCAGATGTACGGACGGGCAGATGTACAAAAAAATGAAATGAAATGAAAGTCCGTACATCTCACTGCCACTTTAAGCGTGAAGGGAGGACTATGACCCTCGCTGTAGTTTAAAGCAAAAAGGTTGCTCTAGAAGTACTCGCTACAAGCGCTTGAAAGGATTCGAAAGACCTTTACTGGGGACATTCACATCCTTTGCAGCCTTTTGCTTTGAACTACATCGAGGGCTTTTGAGGCGAACTAAAACTTGGAGCGTGTCGTAGATTTGTTGAACGTGTCATCTATTTAGCAACTGAAGTAAGCGACGCCGGCACACTCTGTGGTGCTCCGGCACCTTTGGTTTTCTTAATCGGCGTTCGAACGCTTCAGGAATATTGATTCGATCTCCAAACGCCCGATATAATGATCGAAGCACATCATAAAATACTTGCCTTAGAGCGCCGCATACAAGCTTCAATATTCCTAGTTCTATGTGTTTCTCCCGTAGAGTTTCGTGTATTGTCCGGTGTCACGCAGTAGCTGCAGGTGGTGCCACTGACGAGCTACCGATCCGCTATCCACCTTACCAATACAGATGAGGGGTAAACACACAATTTTGGGGAATAAAAGCTGGACATAGCGCCTCTCTAGTTCGATCTTATTGCCAATTTACATGTCGTGACGGTTCGTTTTTCTTATTATTTTAATGCATTACTGCGGAATCCACTTATAGCCGTAATGAGAAAACCAGAAAATGTAATAGTTATAACCGATTACCGTTGTATCTTAACTAGAAACTGATTGTTATAAGCGGTACAACATTATATGTGGCAATGCTATAAGTGGATAACATTCTACTAAACATTTTTAGAAGTGACATAAAAGTTTTAAACATCCTGAAGGAAAATATATTTAGGAAATAAAAGAAACAAAATATTTCCTACGTTTTTGACCAATCAGACAGATATCTCTAAAACGTTCAGCTTTTATATATAAAAAAAGCTCGTCGTTGTGCATCAAATTAATTACTTGGCTAAATATATTTTTGTGATGTTTCGATTTTTTTTTGCCCTAAGCTTAGAAAAAATCATGTTTGCAATATTTTTTTCTTGGTTTCATCAAGTGGCCATGAAACGATTTTAAAAGTGAATTTCATTCACCGCACGTCGTAAAACGCGTAAAAAAAAACGAAACACAAAAATAGACGAAAATTCAAGAGACGCATTAAATTGCTGGGCTGCCAATTGCGTTTAATGACACAGTTCATCTTCATCGACTAGCTAAGATCGTTCAAGACATAGCTTGCTGCGCTTTTTCCTTTTTTTCCTGGGGGCATTGATGGCCCAGTGGTTTAGCGCACACAAAAGTCGAATTAGGTGTTAGTTGATTTAAACAGCAAGAGGTTAGTCTGCCAGAGCATTGCGACATTTGTTAGCCACTGTACAGTGTGTCACAAAAGAAAATTTACGCGGTCTTTTTTACCGCAAAAATAAACTAGGCATCACCGAACGCTCATTCTCCACCCAAAGGAAAAGCTAGAGGTCACAACCAGATGCCAAAGTTTCAGCCCGATTCGATAACTTAATCAAAAGTTATAAGTTATTTTCTGAAAAGTACAATGGGAAAAGGCAGCCCATTTTTGCCTGTTTTCGCTTTCTGGTGCCGTAAAGCCCCTTGTGTTTGAAAACTCCGACGGCCGCCAGTTTCCTATTGAAATTTTTAGAAATCTTAGTAATTTTAGAAAAAAGCTTTCATCTACATCAAAATAGGGGGGGGGGGGGGGGATCATATTTTGCTTTGAATTCGGGGTTGTTGTTATTCGGGATTTATTTGCTTCCACGAATTCGTCCTTTTCTGGTGTCAATGTTTGACGTCCAAAAATAATCGGCGTTTATCGGGTCTTGTGTGGACAAAAACTGGACACGGACATGAGATTGCCCCAAAGACAAGACAAGTACATAACACAAACGTTGGGATCAACTTTCCGGTATTTTTAAGAAAAGGAAGTGGGACAGTGGACGTAGTTCCCTGAGAAAGCACTAGCCTCGCGGACAGTTCAGCGCCGGCCGTGTTCTAGATGAAG